AACAAGCTATATGAATGGTTGAATGTGAAGCTGATAATGTGCCCTGTAAACTTTCACTCAATCCAAAATAAAAACATTTAATTAAAAAAAAAAATTCCAATATCTTGTTATGAATATTACTTTATATATATGACTGCCAACACATTCTGGTTTCCATCATCAGTGTGTTGGTGTAAAATATTTTCTTTCCATTTGACTAAGAAAGAAATGGGTGTTCATCTCCAATGAGTTAATTGGAGACACTTTGACTTTCCATCTAGAAATATCTGTTCTCAGTGTTCACACATTGGAAAAACAGTTCTTATAAGTTTATGTTTATTTTCTGCAGTTGCACTGTTGGGGATCTTCAGGCCAAGATAGATGGCTTAGAAAAGACAAATTCAAAGCTTCAAGAAGAGGTTTGTACTAATTAAGAAATTCTTAACCAAAACAGAATTTTCCCATGGTTACGAAAAATAGCTTTGTTGTTATATCTGACTATAGTTTATTACTGGTAGGAAAAGGAATTGCTAATCTCGGATTGAGCTGCAAGTGAACAGGCATGCTCAATAGTATATACCCTCAGACTGTCCATGTTCTGCCCTGTCCAGGGCCCCGGGGAGACACTACAACTGACATTGACTTTGGCTTTATCACTTCAGAGTTGTCCAATAAAGAAAAACTCTTCCTTGGGAAATCTCTACTTCTGTTGTGAAGTTGTGTTTTCTTCCACTTTTCCACATTTCCTGTGAGGTAATATGTCTCCCTGCTGCCCCAGATGTCACTGACCATTGAGAAGTATAAATGCCCTAGTCCACCCCCTCTGTATCTCTGCCTCTCAGAAGAGAACACAGAACCACTCTTTCCACAGCATGGTCTTTCTCTTCTTTCTCATTAGGAAGAGAGAATGAAAGGACAGAAAGGAGGAGGGCTGAGGCCGAGGAAGAAAGCTTGCTGCCAGCTGCCCAGCAGCCTCCTTTGGACACATCGTGTCTCCTGTTAGCAGAAGGGGGGTTGCCCAGCCTTTCTGAGCCTTTCCACAGGTAGCAGTACCAGTCTGCTCAGGCCTCCCTCTACCCCAAGAGTCACTGAGAAGGAAGAATGGCTCTCAAAGGGATTTGAGCACATATATACCACTGTTGTGGGTCAGGTTGCAGGCACGTCTTTATACAGAAGGGATCCCATGTAAACCTCCTCTTGCCTGATGGGCCTGCACTGTAAGGCTTGTGGAAGAAGAACTCAGACGTTTGTGAATAGAAGGAAATTCAAAGCAAGTGTTCATAGATAGGCATCATGGCAGAAACTTCACTGTACTTAGATTCTAAGGACTTGTGTACACCTTAGGTAGGTAGGCCTTTGAGCCTCAGTCTAAGTAGGAGGTATTCAGTGATAATACATACTTTGCAATATTGTTGTGAAAGTAAAAGGATAGTAATATCATATAAATGTACCTAATAACACTGAATGTTTTAAAATTGGGAAAGGTGTGAGACAGGGTTGTATTCTTTCACCATACTTATCCAACCTGTATGCTGAGCAAATAATACGAGAAGCTGGGTTCTGCGTGGCATCAGGATTGGAGGAAGACTCATTAACAACCTGGGATATGCTGATGATACAA